GAAATATAATTTTCTCAAAAACAAAACAAAAACCTTAAGAAATCGTTAGATACCATTTTCTATTAAAAAAAAATATAAAAAATGGCACGCAGGCCGCCTAGACGAGAGGCTGAGGCTCCGGCGGGACCAGCAGGGAAAGCGGGAAGGGGTGGGGCGGCTCTGGGCAGCAGAGAGCCCGCAACCCACTCCCCCTGCTCTGGGCAACGCCCGCTCCCGCGCATCCCCGCCCTCCCCATCCGCCCGCGGGCCCGCGCTCCAGGCGCGCGCACGTCACGAGGACCCCGGTGAGCGGCGCGATCCAGCCGGCAGCCGCCGCCTCGCGCCCAGGTTACGGAGCACAGGGGCGGGAGCCGGAGGCCCGAGCTGCCAGGGCGGCGCACGCTCACCCGCGCGGACCGGGCCGCGTCCGTTCCCGCTCGGGCCGCTCCCTTCCAGGCGCTGGGCCGAGCTTCCGGCGGACTAGCCCGGGCAGCTCCGCGAACCCGGCCAGGTTTGAGGCCCCCCGCGCCTGCGCGCGGCGGGAGGCGGAGCTTCAGATGGCCACGCCCTCGCGGTGACGCGCTGCCGGCAGGCTGGAGGGCGGGAGTGGGAATCCTCTTGGAGGAGTGAGTGTAAAGCAGGGATTAGGCTGGTGAGAAAGTAAATTGCCAGGAAGGGCGGGGTCCACCACGCTTAGAAAGTGGGAGGTTTGAGTAGGCTAGAAAACCCTCTTCTCTCTTCGGCTGCTGAGAATAACTCCAGAAGCTGAGCTACCTGATATGGCATAGTTGATAGCTACATATTCATTGCCACCGCACTCCGCCCAACCCTGTACAAAACAACCAGGAAGGGGGGAAAAACCGTCAAAGCCTGTGCCGGGTTTTAACTGGGAGCCTTTGCTCTGCCAACTCCTGGAATAGCCTGACAAGTAGCAGGGCGCTTGCACTTCTGTTGGGGTGGGGAGGAAGTAGGAGAGGGGAACTGGGAAAATTGAGGTAATATTTTGGGTGTCAGTTCTTCCTTTTAAGTTTGGACCTAATATTTGATGCATATGAAAGTTAAATTTACCAGCTATGTTAAGTGTGAACATACTAATAAAACAAAAATCCGACTCCACGTTGTTATTATTAAATAAATGCTAAAGCATTATTTCTGTATTTCTGGGATTCTACTTGCTTCATTCTGATTTGTGTGTGTGTGTGAGTGTTCAGCTTGCCATTTTCGGTAGATAGGTAGATACATTTTGGCTGGCAATGTTTCGTTTCCCTTTTGAGATTTCTAAAAATAATATATACCATATATTTATATATGTGTGTGTAGCCTTCCAGTATTTGCTTTTAACATTTCTCTATGGTTCGCTAAGGTTGCTAAATGTACTATAGAAATTTGCTTTACTGATCAGACAAATGAGATACCGTTCCTGTCAGGAATGCATTCAGTTCCATAGCACAAATGACTGTGGGACCAATTTATGTCCTTTGTCTATAGGAAGTGCACTACATGTGTGCGCTTTGCTGAGCTTGAAGGTTGCAGACTTGCAGCAACTCTTACCTGAGTTTGGTGACATGCAATTTGCCTTTCCCCAACATAAGTCAATACTCACTTATGAACTTAATGTTTATTCATAATTTATCATTTTTTCTTACTTTGGTCTTTTAAAAAAGGGTCTCATGTCTGACATTAGACTGGGTAACATTAGACTCTCAGAGTATGGCCCTGAACTCCTGATCTTCCTGCCACCACCCTCCAAGTGTGGAGGTAACTCGTGTGTGCCAGTGTGGCCAGCTTGTATCTTTTTCCTTAAAAACTCCCTCCTTCTCCAAACATACAAACTTGTGCCCCACAGAGCCAAGCTGTAGCCCCTGGAACAAGGCTCCCAGGAACACTGTCATTTACCTCCAATAGAGAATCCCCTTAGTCACTCGGAGGTGCACTGGAAGGCCAGAGGACTTAGAGGTGTTCAGCTTTATATTTTTCTTTTTAATTTTTAAAATTGTATTTTGTTACTTGTAGATGAAGGTCAGAGCACAGCTTTAGGAAGCCAGTTTTCTACACCTTAGTGAGGCAAGTCTCTCTTGTTTCTGCCACATTGCTCATTCCATGTCTCTGGCCAGTGAGCTTCTAGACAGATGTGTTTGTGTCCCATCCCACTGTAGGAATCCTAGGATTGCAGATGTGTGCCACTTGCTGGGAATTGAACTCAGGACCTTTGGAAGAACAGCCAGTGTTCTTAACCTCTGAGCCATCTCTCCAGCCCTACATACATTTTTTAAATGGTTTCTGCAGTTTAAACTCAGATAGTCACACTTATGGGGCAAGTGGTTTTTACTCTCTGAACCATCTCCCAGGTGGGGCGGTGTTCAGTTTCACAAGACAGTTCTGAAATATTTCACAGGTGGTTAGACCAGTCTGTATTACTCTTGCATTCCACATTCTTTCCAATTTCTGCTATTCTCAGACTTCTGACTTTCTGATAGTCTACCAGAAATGAATAAATAGCACATTGTCTTAATATGCATTCCCTAACTGGTGATAAAGTCGAACTATTTTTATATATTGTTTTTTCATATACTTCAGCATTTAAGACTCACATGTATTATTTATACCAATCTTCTGTCAAGTATATACACTGCAAATATGTTAGCCCTGTTTCTAGCATGAGTTTTTCATGTATTATATTAACATCTCATTTTATGTTAAAACTGGCACATATGAACATTCAGCTATATAAAAAATATCCACGTGTGTGTACAGATTTCTGCAAGATCATACATCAAAAATAAAGCAACAGTTTTCATTAGTTGGTAACATGATTTTGTTTTCATTTTGCATTTGAGAATTTCTAAGTCATTTACCCATTTTGTTATGTACATTGTGAAATATGTATGCTGAAGGACTTTTACAAATGCTTTTTAAATTTTAAATTTATTTCAACAGATACATTAAAAACAAAAGTTCTATGTATGCATGGAATTCTATATTTTTAGTTTTTAAAATGTATATATAGCAGAAAGAGTCATCAAATGGAGTCATCAGATAACTGGGTTAACAATTCCTCGGTTTTACATCTTTTACCATCAAGTGAAATCTCCAGTGCCAGGAATGGGCTACATCTGGTTTAGCCATTGGCCCGAGGAAAACCCCCAAACATCTCAGGCTATTGCCAAGGCTATTGGCTCTCTACAAACTGATGGAACGTTCCTGTTGCAGAAGACAATACTTACATATCTTAATGAACACAAAGAAGTCAGGCTGCTGCCTAACTAGAACTCTCACACCTACTGACTAGTGTTTGTGGTACTGGAAGACTACCATAGGGGAAAGGAAATCACCCACCCAGCTACAAAACCTTCAATCTTACAGTGGTGACCTGCCTGAATGATATCCTGGTACAATAGTGGCATAAACATTGTGGGAGTAACCAACCATTCTGATTGAATTTAAGAGTCACTCCATGAGCCGGATGCAGTGGCACACTCCAGTAATTCCAGCATTCAGGGAGGCAGAGGCAGGTGGATCTCTGTGAGTTTGAGGCCAGCCTGATCTACAAAGCAAGTCCGGGACAGCCAAGGATACACAAATCCTGTCTCAAAAAAAATTAATAATTAAAAAAAAAGTTATTCCATGAAACTCAGAGATGACACTGCTCAGGAGGCCAAGAACCTGAGACTAGATAGGCCATTGGCCTAGGAAAACCAAATAGTGTTCTGCTGAGGGAATACAGAAATACAATGACTCCTAGTGACATTCTTCTAGATCCATAGATCAGTGCCTCATCTGCTGTTAACAGAGAAGCTTTCTCTTGCAATAGAGGGGAACTAACAGAGATCCACAACTGGACAGTGTGAAGAAAATTAGAGATTTTGGAACACTCCATCCTAGATGATAGGATATCTTCATAAAATCAGGAAGCTAGAGGGAAAAGGAGGCAGAAAGATGAGTGCCAGAGATGATACCAAGTTAAAAACAGTGTCTTCCAGACACAACAAGACCTACCCACATATATTTGAACTCAAAGACAGCATGCTCAGGGCCTGCATAGGTTCAAGCCAGACGGGACACCAGCACTGGCTGGAGCAAGTAGACATGGGCTCCCATCCCTAAGTAAGCTGTCTCTCGCTGACATCTGCTTGCAAAGAAAGAATATATTCTTCAATGGAGTTTCACAGGGTACATAAACCACACTTGAGGGCCTGTCTCGTGCCTGATGTGGATGGCCAAACTCAATGGTGTTGTGGTAGACATTTTGTTTCATATTGCTTTGTTTCTGCAATTTTTTTTTTTTTTTTATCTTACTGGGCTTTTTCTAATTTTTATTAGAAAATGTGTTCTTATAGGTTTTGGGTTTTTGTGTATGTATGTCTCTGTGTTTCTTGCATTTTAAATTTTCTTCTTTTTATCTCATTTCTTTGTTTGCCTATGTGTTTTCTAAAGAGAGAAAGAAAGTCCTGCAGTTGGGCGGGTAGGGAGGTAGGCAGGATCTTGGAGGGGTGAGAGGGGAAGCCAAAATCAAAATATATTGTATGAACAAATATTTGCAATAAAGATAAAAAGATTTCTGTTTCACTTCGTTTGTAGGTATTTTGTTTGTGTATTTGTGAGGGAGGGTTGGATCCCCTAGAACTAGAGTTATAGATGGTTGTGAGCTGCCATGTAGGTGCTAGGAATGGAACCTGGGTCCTCTGGAAGAGCAGGCAGTGATCCCAATCACTGAGCCATTTCCCCAGTCCCAAGGTTTTCAATATTTAAAGTGGACTTTGAAAAATAATCAGATTTATAGAAATTTTTGATTAATACAGCATCATGTGTATTCTATATATGCCCTTTACATGGTCACAGTTTGTATAGTTGGAACAGGGATTTGTTGTTGTTGTTATTGAACAATTTGAGAATGAATTATACATGTACATCTGAAGGCAAAGCTATTCTTTCACATACTCACAGAACAATGTTCAAATTTAGGTAGTTTAACATTGACATAATACTATAGCTATTATTCAGTCTTTAATTAACATTTGCCAGTTGAAGTTCAAGGCAGGACCTTACACCCTAGCTCAGGCTGGATTGAAACTTTAAGCACTGGGATGCCAGGCCTGTGGCTCCACACTGGGTTCTCTTCTTACTTTCTTTGTGGTCTTTTGATGAGTAAAAGTTAGCAAGTTGAATATACTTAAGTTTGTCAATTTCTTCTTCTGTAGCTAGCAACTTTGATGTCTAAAAAGCCTTGAATATTCTAAAACCAGGAAAGTTTTTTTTCTTAGAATTTTTGAAAAAGTTTTACTTTTCTCCTTTATATTTACATCACAGATCCACATTGGAATTATTTTGTGTTTGTTACGAAGTAAGAATCTACTTAATTGGTTTTCCAAATGGCCAGCTTGTCTGAATACTATTTATTAACTAGTGTCTTTTCTCAAATGACTGTCAGTGTTATATCTGGGGTAGATCTTCAAAATGCTTCGAAATGCACAAGCATGTTTCGGGGCTCATTATTCTCCTCTCAGCCATCTCTCCTGATACCAGCTCCACCCTGCCTGTTATTACAGCATTATTA